GGTAGATTCAAGAGGCCGCATAGGGTCGCGAGTTGGTTCGTGTGCGGAAGGGTGAGAGGGTCAAGGCAGTGACGCAATTCTGGATGGAGTCAGGCAAGCCACAAAGGCCGTGGGCCTTTGTCCGCCGGGTGTGTAGGCAGGTTCGCAGAGCAACGGCCGTCCAATGGCAGGTGCTGCGCAAAGATGATGCTCACTTGTTAGATTGTATGCAGGGTAGATGCATTCGACCCAGTCAGGCTTGACTGACGTCAGGGGCTTGACCTCAACGGCCACGGACTGCCCAGCTGCCGGGCAGGTGGCAGTGGTGGCCGGGACGCCATCAACCAAGTAAACTGTGGTACCATTTCCAAGTGTGTTGCTGCAACTGCCGGCCAGCTGCACCACCTGGCCGGCCGAAGAGCACTGGGGAGGGCTTGTGCATTGAACCTTATCTGGAAGCTCGAGGGGGCAGCCTGAGAGTGCGGGGCCAACGGGCAGGAGTCAGTGTATCAGTGTATGTCACTGTGTCAGGGCGAAGCAAAAAAAGTGTCTGTCTGCATTCCAACTCCAACAGCAGTCGCGGTGAGCATGGGGCCGCCATGCAGGCCTGCCCTTGCACTTGAGCCCACCCTCGTGCGCGTCCGAGCCCGCGCCCGCACCTTCCCCGGTCTGGTTGTTGGGCTGGTTGATGGACGTCACAGTAAAGCGCGTGCTGCTGCCGCAGTACGACGGCGTGCCGGCCGGCAGGACAAGGGACGCGTTGATCGCGAGTGCTGTTGTGCTGTCGGCGGGGCACGCGACAGAGGAGATGCTGGCGGTACTGCCGCCGGTGCTGTACCGGATCTCATAGGGCAGACCGGTCGAGCAGCTGCCTGCAAGCGGCGTGATGCTGTTGGGGGCCGTGCACTTGTTGGTGCAGGTCCACTTGATCGCGGACGGGTCGACGGGGCAGTTCCTGTAGCCACAGGTCGCCTTGAGGCCGTACACCACCTTGCCTGTGCTGCCGCTGCTGTTGGTGGCGAGCAGCCGGCGGTGGGCCAATGGGGAGTCCGCGGCACCACCCGTGGGGTCGCCGGCCGCAATGACTTGCTGGGCGGTCAGGGAGGGCGAGAGCGCGGTGCCGTCGGCGGCGACGGCCGACTTCTTGAGGCCGCGCTGGGTGACGCAGCGGAAGCGGTTGATGTCGCAGAGGTAGGCGGTGGGGGTGTTTGGCTTGACCGCCTTCTTGATGCAGCTCGGCGCCGATCCCGCCTTGCAGCGGATCTGCCGCGGTGGGCCGGGCGCGCACTTGACGCTCGCGGGCGTGCCGCAGCGGAGCTGGCGGCCGGCGGTCGTGTTGAAAAGGAAGGCGCGGATGCAGCGGCGGTCCTTATCGGAGTCAACGTTGAACTCGACGATACCCTCGCCGCCGGCGAGGGTGATTGTCGAGACACGGTCCGTGGTCGAGCAGCCGGCGCACTGGTTGACAATGGGCGGTATGCCCGAGCCGTTGGCAAAGGTGACAGTGGAGCCGAGCATGCAACCGTCGAGGTTGTAGCAGCAGCTGACGGAGGCGACCGGCCCCGAGAGGCAGGAGGGGTCCTTCTTGCAGGTGGACGCCGTTTGGCTGCAAGAAAGGGGAGGGGGGCAAACCGGGGCGGGCGCGTGTGCAGGACCGCGGCTCGGTGAGCCGGGGGCGGAGGGTGCGACTCGCGTGCTGGGTGAAGAAGCCGCTTCACCTTGTGAACAGCGCAGGCAGCGCGCCAAGCGGGGTGGGGGCGTTATAAAGAGTTCTGGTGCGAAAGATTTACGGCCTTGCTTCGCCTTTTGACTGCCTTGATCCCCGCCGGCTGCCGCACCGGTTCGGTGCATCGACGGCGGGTGGTTCTCGCCGTGAGCAACCCCCGGGCACCCAACATCGAGGGAGCGTAACAGGCCCGCCCAGCGGTCCTGAAAGATCCAAAAACTCACCATTCAACTGCTAGTGGCAGCAGAAACACCGAAAGCACAACCCAAGCAGTGGCTGCGGATGATCGGGGCCAACCCACTAGCACCCGCGAGGGCTCGAAAGCCATCTTTGAGATGTCACAGTGTCTCAATCAATATTTTTGAGTCTTGCTGTTTGTAGGAGTCCCGGACTGGCGGGGAGCGAAGGACACGCCTCTCCTCCAGAGCTCGGTCAGCACTTCAAATCAATAGTGGTCTAACCTTGACTGAACCGATAAATTTCCACCGTATTCAAATGTTTTGTCTGGTATGTATGCTGTTGCGGGCATCTTCTTCGCTCGTCCTGCTGGCTGTGGCGAACGAAGTCTAGTTCTTCACACCGGCCACCTACAGGACCCGTGAGGCGGCTGAGCCTTCGACACTAATTTGAAAGCGCTCGAAATGATGTTAATAGAGCACCAGAATGGGAGGTACAGGCAGGGCAAGAGAGCTAGGACGGCTGCGCATGAGGCTGCGACACACCGCGCAAGGCGCAAGAGCTTACGCAGCATTTGCAGCGGCGCCCACGCGCCACTGCCCGCCCTTTACAGCAGCCGGTCAGGCACGCGCATCAACCACAGGGCGGCGAGAGATCCCAGCTTAGAGCAAAAGGCCGACAATGGCTGGGTATCCTCGTTCTCACCAGCTGCGACGCGCAACATGCAAAGTTCCTTATGCACGTCAGCGGCCGCCGGACCGCGCGCCGGGCCTGCGCATCACCCGCGGGGCGAGTGCGCCCGGGCACGCTTCAAGCCCCCTATGCACGAGAAAACCAACCCAGCCGCTTCTCCTCGTCCACCGTTTCGCTGAGCCTGGCCCCCTTGATTATGTGTTTGATAATACAGGGCGCATGCCTGCAGCACCGGCCGCCGTGCAAGGGGCCCCCGGGAAGAAGCTGGTGTGTGAACCGCAGGGCACCCCATGTTCAAAAGGGACCATACTGAAGTCGGCGGCTGCTGCAGCGGTGAACTTGCATGCATGATTCGACTTGCCCAGCCTGTGGTTGCTGCGGCCTGTGGGTGGTTTCGTACGCGCTGGCATCTTACTGCACCCTGTATGCTGTCCGACCTCCCGTCCCCGCCCTCTCGGTGCCTGCGCATCCTAGGAAGCTGCCTTAAAGAGCCACCTGTGCTCGGCAGCAACAGAATGTTGGCAGGCAACACAGACCCGCCCGTCAGGGCTGCTTGTTACACTGCTCCAATCGCCCGCCCTAGTGCTGGCTTTGCCGATGCTGCTGCTGCTGCTGCTGCTGCTGCTGCTGCTGCTGCTGCTGCTGCTGCTGCTGCTGCTGCTGCTGCTGCTGTGCCGCTGCTGCGCCCCCGACCTCCCCTGGCCCCAGCCCAACCACCGCCACCGCCGCGGGCACCGGGGGCGCCGCCCACGGCCAGCCACTCTCCCGCTGCAGCACCTGCGTGCACAGCAGCGCCAGCTCGCTGGGCGGCGGCGGCGGGGCCGGGCCGCGGTGGGCGCTGCTGTAGTAATGGCCCTCCAGGTCATTCAGCAGCAGCTGCACGTCCTGCGGACGGCCAGACACACGGCCGTTTTTTTGGGGGGTGGAGACGGGGTTGTGTCAAGCAGCCGTGTCATTGGAACACCAGCAGTTGTTGTGGTCGGGCTAGGCAGCGCGGGCGCCCTCGGGTTCATTTGACGGGGGGTGGCAGGTTGGCCGGGCAGAAACAAGCTTGCGCCTTGCCCCTGGCCAAGCAGCCCGGTAGAGTGAGCCAATTGCACAATACAATGGCGAAGCTCTCAAATGCCTTCACCAACCACTTGTCCCATTCATGCTTGTTTCGATGCTCAAGCAAAAATGCATTCACACAGACATACACACTCACGCACGCCCGAATGCATGAAAGCATGCCCCAAAACACACGCATGCATGCCGCGTGCAGGGGCACTCTCATGCACACACACACACACACACTCTCTCACTCGAACACACACACACACACACACGGACGCGCGCCTCACCTGCCGCATTGCGGCCAGCTCAGCGCTGGCTGAGTGGACCTGGTGCTCCAGGGCTGTCCGCGTGACGCGCACGCTGGTTATGAGCGACGAAAAGTCGCTGAGCATGGCGCCGCGCTTGAGCTGAGAAACCGTGTGTATGCACTGGTGGCCTGCTCGCGTGCGAAGCAAGGGGTTTGGGGTGCGTGGCCATGCAATTTTTGGGGGGCACGCGGCGCGGCCAGGGGGCGAGGCGAGTGGCGTTGTGCTGTTGAAAGGGCGGCCAACGCCGCAAATATCGTGTGGTGCGCGGCCGCAGCGGGCCGAAGCGTGCGCACGCCGCGCCTGCGGCACTGCTTTCAGTCCTGCCAGCCGAAGCAATTCGCGGCGCCCCCCCCACAGGCGCCACTTCTTTGAGCAGGCATCCAAACGGCCATGCCCCACCTGCAGCGAGCAGCTTCTCAGTCAGAGCCTCAAGAAGCTCCCCAGGCACCTGCCGCCGTCCCCCGCCGCCCCGTCCGCCAGCGCCGCCGCCGCCGCCGCCGCCGGCTGCGTCGGGGCCGGGGTCGTCGAGCGCGCCCGCGCCGCCGGCGCGCACCAGGTTGGCAAACTCATCCGCAAGCGAGATCAGCTGGGCGTCAAGCTGCTGGTACAGCTCAAGGTCGCTGGATGACATGGCGCTGGTATTCTGATCCTGGCTTTGTGTGGCATACGCCAAGGCATGCGCTGCGGCTGCGGCACCTCAGCGGAAATGTTCAGGGGCGGGGCCCCAGGCGCGCTGCATCATGAGTGTGTACCGTAGTCACCAGTTCGCTGCCTGCGTCCTCCGGCACTAGCCCTGGGGTTCTAAGTCAATGCGCACTTGTTATATATCTCGTAAAGAGACACGAAGCACTTGATCTACAGGGAGCGGGGGTGAGATCAGGCGCGCTATGCCCGTGCTTGTGTAAATACAGTCCCGAATTTTCGCATATATATTGTCCATCTGCGGTCATGGGCCGACTGTGCTGAGCACACCATGCGCGCCGCGCTGTGTCGCTGCCTGCGCCCCCTGGACCGCCGCAGGACGCTCAGCGCTGGGCGCCATCACGCCTGCCGATCACGGCGGCAGCATCACCAGACTCCCAGTGCGCGTGATCCAGCCCGCGGGAAGCTTGTATGGACGAATATAGCGTGCGGCGTCTGGCCGCCCGCTGGGGGTGGACTGAGGTGCAGCACAATGTGGAGAGTCGCGTGATGGGCTTTGTGAGGGGCGGCGAGAGGGTGAACGTCTACTACACCACCGGTGAGAGGTCAATGCCAGATAGTACCGCATATCAGAGGGGCAGGAGCATCGCCCAAACACCCTGAGCAGGCGGCCAGCCATCACCACGTGCCATCATGATCACCCCCGACCGCACCACCCCCCCCCCTGCCCGCACGCCGCGGCCCGCCGTCGCCCCAGGCACTGTGGGCACGTGCGTCAACCACCCGCGGGCGGGCAAGACGCAGCTCTTCCGCCGCAACCAGACCCTGGCCACGCTAGGCAACATATTCCAGGACCCCCGGGTGCATACGGGTGAGGCAGCCAGCTGCGCACCTGCATTCCGGCCTGTCGGTTTGCAGCATCGGCAGCCGCCATCGCAGGGGGATCTGCCGTGCAAGCGGTGGTCGCAAAACCCTGAAAGCCTTTTTTCAAGCTTGTACTGCTGCTGAGAATGAAGCAGCACGGCCAAGCACCGACGCGTCCGCTTCGAGTAATTTGCGCCGGGCCCCGCCCGCGCTCGCCGTCCTCGCAGGCGCCGGCTATTACCGCCGCCACAGCGACGCCCGCCCTGAACTCAGCCAGGACAGCGGCGGAGGAAACCAGATATGGGCGTGCCTGGGCAGCAAGCGCCTGGAGGACGCCCTGCTTGATGGCTGGGACGAGGCTTGCACTGTGCTGGCGCTGGGCGCCGGCTACTTCACAGCGGATTGCCATGGCGCGACTGCCTGGTGGGACGTGCCCATTGAACTGCACAACAAGGTCAATGGCCGCCAGAAGAGCCTGCCGCCCGTGGACTATGTGGTACTGGGGGAGGGTGACGATTACTTTGTGCAAGTGAGGCGGCCGCCCGAGTACTTGCATGCCTGCATGCACGAGCCAGCATGCGCGCGTGCGGGATGTGTGTGTGTGTGTGTGCGTGCGTGCGTGCGTGCGTGCGTGCATGTGTGTGTGTGTGTGTGTGTTTGTGTGTGTGTGCGCGCGCATGCATGTGCATGTGCGTGGGTTGTCACGCACACACGCACGCGCGTGTGTTTATTTGTGTGTTTGTGTGCGTGCATTGGCATGTTTGAGTGTGTTTGTACGTGTGTCTGTGTGTGTAAGTATGCGCGCATGTGCGCGCGCGCACTTGCCTGTGCTGTTGTGCGTGAGCGCAATCGTTTGCCTGCGCTTGCTTGTGATCATGCTCATGCTTGCAGTCCTGCTTGCCAAGAGGGCGTTTCCAGGCTCGCAAGGACTGTCCCGCATGCACGGTATGCGCCCTGTGCATCACCCGCCGCCACACTCCAATGCACACATGTTTTCCAATCATGGCTCCCATCGCCATCAGTTTGCCGACGGCAGCTGCCAGTGGAGTGCCTATGACCACAGCGTCTGGGAGATCCTGCAGTCTCGCGAGGGCACCCCGGTCGAGCTGCTGGCCTTTGCGCCCGGCGGCGGCTACTACATCATGTGGGAGGACGGCGAGTCGTGCTGGCTGGGCCTGCCACGCGGCCTGCATAACAAGCTGATCGGGCGCCAGAAGAGCCGCGCGGGCGTGGAGTTCCTTGCGGTCGGCCCCGAGGGCGAGTGGTTTGTGCGGTTCCTGGATGGCGGCTGGAGGGCTGATGACATCACCGATGGCTGCAGCGAAACGCTGCATGAGCTAGACAAGCAGGGCTGGTCAATACTGAAGGTGCTGTTTGGGCACAACGGCAGCTGGGCGATCATCTACTCGTAGGAGAACAATTGCGCCTCCAGGGGTCGCTAGCGACAGGCAGCTGGCATATCATAGCATGTATGTCAAGCTGCACGAGAGTTGATGCGAGTTCCCCTGCCGTAGTTATCAGTCATGTGTTTGGGTTGATGCTTCATCGTTGCCCCATGTTGTTTGGTGTTGTGACACCATTTTAGTAACTGATCTGCTCAGGCAGCGCCCAGGGACTTTGAGTGATCAGGTGCTCCGAGCTGGCCAAATTTGCAACAAAGAGCCACCCTTCAGGACCAAAACACCTGACTGAGTTTGAGCTGTTTGAGTGCTGTGCACCTGACTTGGCAAGCTGCGGCAAGTATTCAGAGTTTGCTGGCAGCAGGCAGTGTCATTGTGGCGGTGCGTGTTCACGACCAACAATATGGGGTGGCCATCCGTCTGCTAGTCTTGAGTGCTGCTGCCAATTGTGCGTGTGCCACGTACTTGGAGTGCCGCTGCCAATGCCCCACTTGCCAAAAGCAGCGCCTCAAAACGCTTCTGAGGCATCTGCCGCTGTCCCACGCTGCTTGAAAGTCGCAGCTTGCTACGAGGTGTGCAGCCTGTGTGCTAGCCAACCGGGGACCGCCGCGTGCCTCGGCCAGGCGCAAAATGCTGCCAATCGCCTTGTGGGGCTTGCCGGATGTGATGGTTTTCTTCCTCGTCACCGTGAAGCAAATCGTAAACCAAGCACTTTGTTGAATGCGCCTGCGCCGCCGGCGCGCACTTGGTTGGCAAACTCATCCGCAAGCGCCATCAGCTGGGCATCGAGCTGCTGGTATACCTCAAGGTCGTCAGGCCGCATGGCGCTGCTAATCCAATTCTGGCTGCAGGTGGCATACGCCGCGGCATGCGCAGCGCCGGCAGCACCTCAGCAGCAATGTCCACCGGGGGGGGGGGCCACGCGCAGGCGCATGTTTGACAGTGTGTAGTCACCCATTCATTGCTCGGGGTCTCGGGCACTGGCCATGAGATTCGAATAAAAAAACTCGTATTTACATGTCTCGTCAAGAGCCACGCAGCACCTGACCAGGCACCGGGGTGCGAGATCAAGCGCGCTAGCTTCGGGTTTTGGAAGGATTTGTCTCAGCTTTAGGGAGCAGAAACTTTGTCTCTCTGCGGTCGTGAGCCAGCTGTGCTGAGCACATCCTGCGTTTCGGGCTGTGTCTGAGTGTCGCTGCTTGCGCCCCCTGAACCGCCACAGGCCCCGCCCGCCGATCGCAGAGCAGCAACACCAGACGGCCAGCACGCGGGCTGTAGCCTGCATCAAGCTCGCATGGACGAGTACAGCGTGCGGCGCCTGGCCGCCCGCTGGGGGTGGACCGAGGTGCAGCACAATGTGGCGAGTCGTGTGATGGGTTTTGTGAGGGGCGGCGAGAGGGTGAACGTCTACTACACCACCGGTGAGAGATTGATGCCAGATAGTATAACCAATCAGAGGGGCCGCAGGAGGGGCAGGAGCAGCACCCAAACACCCTCAGCAAACGGCCTGTCGCCACCCTGCGCTACCATGGTTGACCCCGCCCACAGCTCCCCCTGCCCGCATCCTGCCCGCCGCGCCCGCCGCCGCCCCAGGCACTGTGGGCACGTGCGTCGACCACCCGCGGGCGGGCAAGACGCAGCTGTTCCGCCGCAACCAGACTCTGGCCACCCTAGGCAACATATTCCAGGACCCCCGGGTCCACACAGGTGAGGCAACCAGCTGCGCACCTGCACCCTCGCTGTCGGTTTGGCGCGGAGACCGCCGTCAACACATGGGTCTCTGGCGAGCAAGCGGTAGTCGCAAAATCCTTAGAGAGGTTTGGCAGGCTTGTAATCCTGCTGAACATGAGCGAGACAGCCCAGCGATCACTGCTGCGACTGTTCTGTGTCAACCCGCCCTGCCGCGCCCTGCTCTCCCGCCCTCGCAGGCGCCGGCTACTACCGCCGCCACAGCAGCACGCGCCCCGAGCCCAGCCAGGGCTGTGGCAGCGGCGGCCACCACATGTGGGCGCGCCTGGCCACCCAAAAGGCTCAGGACCACCTGTTCGACCAGTGGGACAGTACGTGCACAGGAGTGCTGGCGCTGGGCGCTGGCTACTTCTTAGTCAACCACGATGGCAGCACTGCATGGAGCGGCGTGCCCATTGAATTGCACAACAAGGTCAATGGCCGCCAGAAGAGCCTGGCCCGGGTGGACTATGTGGTGTTGGGGGAGGGTGACGACTACTTTGTGCAGGTGAGGTGGCTGCATGCATGATTGCATGC